TTAATTAGGGTTTGGGTTCATAGTTTCGGTCTAGGGGTTGAGGGCTTGTGGTGAAGCTTCAGGGATTTCAGATTTTGCCGCTTACACTTGGGTTGTGATTGTCCCCCTGGACGCGGAAGGCGTTCCCACGACTTCTATTGTCCCTAACCGAACCCTCAACCCGAATACTTGTAGTTGTAGTTGCGACTTAGGATTCGGACGAGTTCCCTGCGGCGCGATAGCAGCTAAGCAGGGGAAAAGGTACTGGAGTCAACCCTGAGCCCCCTCCCGCTTAGGCGACAGTCTTGAAGTCTGTCAGCGGTTCCAGCACCCCTAAATCCTACATCCAACTTTGAGAACCCGAATGACCCGTAACCCTAAACCTGACTTGTGCGAGAGCGAGAGTCGAAACCTGGCTTGTCCATCATGTACCCTTCATCGTAGGTTCGCCCCGCAAGGCGGGAGGCAAACAATGGCTTGTTCTCTTACCGCACGGTTTGTATCTCCTGTATAAGAGCCGGGAGAATCTAGCCCCGAAAGCCTCAAGGCCGCGTTGGGTTTACGTTCGGGCTTTACGGTTTTACAGTGGGAAGGGTTCGGGGGCTTTTGGGGGTCTGGCTGTTGGGGTGTTCCGGGATAGGGTCTTGGGCTTTAGTGACTTTACTGTGTCAAGAGCTCTTTGGCCAGTACATGCGCTCAGCTGACAAGCCCGAGTCTGCAAAGCTAGAGAGAGAGAGAGAGAGAGAGAGAGAGTGTGTGCTGTGGGTGTAGATACCAGTAAAGCAAATCGGAAAAGTGTTTTCCTGCAGAAGAGCTCCTGCGCTATACATGCCCCGAAACTCAAATCAGGGATTGTGTCATTAATTCACCGGCATGGGACAGCAGTGCTTGCTACAACACCTTCGTCGTGTATGCATGGCTACAACTTACAATGCTGCCGCGCAGGCAGACTGGGACTGGGCTACGCGTGGCTTCCGCGGCTGGGCCATCTTTCAGGCAGGTTTTGGACCTTGCCGGGCTGATTTTGCAGGGTTTCCGGCTGGCAGCCAAGCTGAGGGTATCTTGGTTTCAGTTTCAGGCCTGTCGAGAGGTCGAACTTGAGGCTCACGGTTTTTATTTTCTGAGGATCCTCCCATCTGCTCTAAGCCCCATGTGAACATCCACCTTTTTCGTTTTAGAATAACTTGGACGCGGTTTCGGCTCTTGAAGAGATAAATCTCTGGAAATTTTAAAGTCCCGTGGGTAGAACGAGTCAAGTCCACGCAAGTACTAATAAACTGTCATTATTCCTATGGTGATGTCTTATCATTGGTGTTCTTTGTAGCGAGATTTTTTGGTTATGATGCTTCTTTAGCAATTGTTAAACGATCGTTCGGGATGTTTACATGCAAGGGTTCAAGGAATGACCCGGAAATCCGATGGCATATTCCGAGCCAGCGGCAGCCGTAATGGGACATCCCGAGCCCCTGGATGTCGACCCCTGCACTGACGAGTCAGTTCCCATGGAAAGGCCCGCTCCTGTCAGAAGTCCAGCAGGAGGCCATCTGGTGAAACAGTCAGAGGCTCCACATGCGGGGTGTGATGTTACTGCTCAGCTTGCTGACATAGAGCCGGATCCACGGGTGGCTGCTCGTCTTGTCGGTGATTTCCTCTCCAGGATGCACGTTACCCGACCAGAGATCATTCGGGCGGTGCCTGTCCGGAAAATATTCCGTGGCCTAGCAAGACCTTTGAGAGCAAAAGGTGATTATTATCATTTGAGCCGCGTGTCCAGCAGCTTTGGTGCATTCTGGTCGCATAGCTGGCATGGTTGTATCTGTAGGAAGATCTTCACTGTGTTCTTCTTTCACAAAGGCACCGCAGCTACCGTCCTAAGCGCTTTGGCAGCCATTTTCTGCTACATCGCGTTCGGCCTTGCGATTCTTCCTGCTGAAGATGGCCACAGCTGGTGGTGCTTGAGCGTTGGTTGTGTCACCTATGTCTTGGTCATGCTGGTGTGGCAGCCGCAGCAGCTAGTATTCCTTGATCGGGTTTGCATTTCTCAGTGTGACACTGTGCTCCAGACAGAAGGGCTACTGAGCCTCGGTGCAATCCTCAAAAGTGCTGACTACATGCTGGTTCTTTGGGATTCTTCCTGGGCAAGGCGGCTTTGGTGCATCTTCGAGCTGGCCGCCTTCCTTCACAGCAGGTCCCCACGTGAGAAGACCCACATCAGTATAAGGCCGACCATGCTGGGGTTTGCCATTTGTGCGTCCTGGTTTGCGTGTATGCTCGGAGGCTTCGCCTTACATACAGTCCTCTTTGCACTGTCCGACGGCTATAGCTTTCACACGTACTTGGTCTTCATGGCTTGTTGCTTTGTGATTTTCTGGTACATCGCGCACCTGGCCCGGGAGTACTGCCGTGACATACATACCATGTGCAAGCAAATCAGGCACTTCAGCATCAGCAGGGCTGAGTGTTGCTGCTGCTCTACAGATCACAAGATACCTGGCAGTGACATCCCGGGCACATGCGACCGCGTCATCATCCTCCACTGCATCAAGACATGGTTTGGTAGTGTCGAAGCTTTTGAGGACTATGTCCAAGATGAGGTGTACGACTTGCTTGTGGATCAGCTATCAAACCACGTGATATCATACTGGCGATTAGCCGAGGCCTCACCTGTCCTCTTTTGGGTGAACCTCGATCGGGCGGCACCTAGCCTTCGGCTTTTTTTCCAGAGTGGTGTCAGTCAGCCATCTCACCTTGTCGGCAGCTTGCTCTTCCTCAATGGCCTGTGTTTTTGGTTAGGAGTCTTCCCGATTCTCTTCCGCATCTTGTTCAGACTGGCTTGGATATTACAGGCAGAGTGCGCTTGCCAAACTTTGGATTGGCTCAAATCCCTTCTGATCCTGTTGCCGACAATCTTCATTTTCAGCTTGTTTATCCTTGTCGAGACGGTCCTCCTCCCTCTTCTGCCAGAACCGCTGAATCTGATTGGGCTCACACTCATAACGATTCCACTGACGGCGCTGGCATGGAATTGCCTCTCAGTACCCTTACCTCATTAAAGCGTGAGGTCAGTCAGACAGCCGCAGGAGAAAGTCAACCTCGGAGTTCGTCTGGTGGGATACTGCTGAGAGGATCCCAAAAGTTGCACCTCGAATTGACGTTTGCATGGCCTGTTATTCAGGGGCTGGAGCTTGGTCCTCCGGAAGGCTTAAGCGCATGACCCTGCTAAGGCTTGTAATGCCGAGTAGTTTTCGCAGATGCTGTGCTATAAACGACACCATCCAAGCGCACGGCACATGCTGCGACTGCGGGTATGGTGGCATCGCCTCAGGCAGATGCAACGCTGAGGCCCTAAACCACAAGCCCTCAAACCTCAGCCAAGCGTTCCTGCTTCGAAGCTAAGCGTAGCAAAACAGAGTTGGAGTCAGACTTGGGTCAGTTGGAATAGTACAATAAGACTGTAGTATACCATAGCAATGTAGTAATCGTATAGTATCATAGATTATGGTACCGTCTACTCATAGCAGTATATCCAGATTCAAGCCTTTTTTTGGGGAAAAGCGCTCTGGGTCTGAGACGTTAAAAGTCCTTCGAGCTTCAGAAAGCAAGGGGCCCTTTTTGTGGAAATCTTAAGACAAGGATCCCTGCAAGAATCCCCCCACAAGAGGGCCCCGAAGCTCAAGAAACTGTCAAGGAGGTTGCTGAGGCTTTGTCTTAATGTGGGCTGACAGGGTTTAGGAATCTCACGAGGGAAGAGAACTCTTGACCAAAGGGGTCTCAAAAGGGAGGCTAAAAAAGGGTTACTACAAGGGCTACATCAACGGGAATTAGAACATGTTATGTTGGTTACCCAGGCAGCTGCAGCGGTCGAGTTGCTCTTCTACCACAAGGTTGTAAACCCAACCGCAGCTGCGGGCTCAGAAGATGCCGTCCGTGTACCCTACGCCTGTTTGTGGATTGCAAAGGTTTAGGCTTCCTAAACCCTAAGCATTTTCAGGATTGGAGGGGTAGGAGTTCCTGAATCCTAGGCGCTTGAGCTTGCAGGGAGCGAGGGGTCAGGTTCGGATTCAGAGTGCCTCTTTCGCAAATCCGAAAGTCGTTCCAGCGAGGGCCAAACTGTCTGTAGAGCAGGCATGGCGTGAGTGTGATCGTCGGACGTGGGTGCATGGTGTAAGGGCCTTAATATTTAGAATAGGGTTTCGGCTTAGGGGGAATATAGGGGCCTAAATAATTACCGTCGGAGAGGGTTGGAAAAATTTTGGGGTGGTATTATAATTATAGTACAATGGGCCCCAAAACCCTTATTCTACTAATTAGGGCCGCTAGGAGAAAGATTGTACTGTTCGTAGTTGCCGTTTCCTTCTGGGCACCTCTCCCAGCTTTGACTGTGCGCGTGCCAAACTCCTACAGCCCTACGACTGTTCTTGCCGGTTTAGGGTTCAGGGTTTGAGGGTTTAGGGGTTTCGGGGTTTAGGGTTTAGGGGTTTAGGGGTTCAGCGGTTTAGGGGTTTAGGGTTTAGCCGGAAAGCAATGAAGGATTGCTGCAGCCGGCAACCCTTAGAGGTTGTTTCCCGGATGAAGCAAGAGGGCGTATAGGGCTCAAGAACTCGACTTAGTTAGCCAATAGGAGAACTTTAAACTTTTTGGCCTTATATATTTGGTCTATCCTAAAAAGTTTGAACTTTTTTGGGCCTGGTTGTTGAAGAAGAGAGTCGAAGAGTGTACCGGGCCCGGAAGTCTGAAGCCAACATCAGTGCAGTGATCAGGTCAGGTAAATCCCTAGGGCTCCAAGTATACAAATAGAACCTACTTTGGGGTCTAAAGTCCTTAAATGCCACCTACATTGGGCTATTTGGAGCCCCAGGGAATTAGCACTCATCCGAATTTCCTCATCCGAATTTTCCTCATCCCTTGCAAGCCACAGCTGCTGAGATGCCGGTGATCGTCACTGCCGCAGTGCTGCCATGTTTCCTGTCTCTCACAATGGGGTGCGTAGATGTCGCAGCACTTGTTTTGAAGCTCCTTTACGAGGTACCTGTTTTAATCGGGCAGAGTTTACAATCCTAGGCCCTTGGTTCGGAACAAGCCTCCGTCTGAAGGCAGGCGGGCTTTCTCCGAGGTCGAAGTGCCATCCGAGGTGTAGGTTTCGCAGTCGTCGTCGCCTTACTATCCCAAGCCCAAAGCCCCTCAACCTAAACCCAAAGCACCAGCCCAGCAAGGCCCCTGCCCCCCTAAACCCTAAACCCTAAACCTGAACCCCTAAACCCCCCCCTCCGCCCAAAAAAAAGAAGCCTCGGAGAGCCCGGACTCCTCTCCCCAGAGACTCCACCATCCCTTAGTTAAGGAATATACCTTATATTATAGTAGGATCCTTAATGTGATTTAAGGTATATGCCTTAATTAAGGGATATTGGAGTCTCTGGGTCCACGGCAGATAGCTTGCGGAGTGCTGCGCAGCGCCTCGGCGCGGGACCGCCTCGGTGGGGGCACCTTCAGGCCAGCTGATCGCGGCTGGGCCCCGTGGAGCCTTCTGAACCCAGAATAGTACGACACCCCGAAAAAGAGTACCCTCAAAGGGACCCTCGGTAGAGAACCGTACTATAAGATACTATGATCTGCTATGATCTACTAGAATATACGATGATCTACTACCATATACTATTATAGGTCTTCTCTTCACGATATTCCGGACTCTTAGCCCGAAGCTTTGCAGCCGAAAAGACCCTTCCTCAGCAGCCGAGTCTTGGCGCTCTGTTCACAGAGAGGCTGCTGAGTTTGGGCCTCCTTTTCGCGTGCAGCCTCCTCTTCCTGCGGGCTATTTCAAGCGTCGGTGCGGGTGCCTGGCTGGACGGGTTCCGGGTATATCTGGTACTTGGTGTAGGATTCGAATTTCTGTTGCTACGATAAGAATGTAGCGACGGTCCTCGAATGATTATGCTTATCAGTTTGGAGAGGGGAGAGAAGACGGTAGTGAGTGGGCCAAGCTTTGGAACCATAATCGCCTTCATCGTATTTTCTCTTGGGTCTTGGTGACCCTTAACCCTAAACCCTGAACCCTAAACCCTTAACCCTAAACCATTGTTCTAAGAGGGCTGGATGCTCGGATCGGAGGGGTCGGCTCTCGCTGAAAATGTCGGGAGGTAAACTACTACCTGTACCTTTCCTTTCGTGCCTCCGAAGCTTCAAGCAGGGTTCGAAAGTTTTCAATCTGCTTGTGCTGTTTTAGTTCGTTGCCTGTATGAATTGAGAGCTTGGGGCTGTAAGTGAAGTTCGGCGGGAAGTGTAGACGGATACGTTATTCTCAGTCCTTTCTCTTTTTGAGGCTTGAAGTCTCAAGGATTTGCTTTGGACCCTGCCAGGCTTTTGGTCATGGGACTCTTGGGAACCCACTCCGAAGTAGACTGAGCACGCAGTGGGTCAGCACAAGTTTGGTCAATCGTTTGAGGAATGCACTGGTGCCCTTGGATTCGGCACACCCTAAACCCTGAACCCTACAGTCGAGCTGGTGGATGGACTTTAGAAAACAGACATTGGCACGCCGAACCCTTCAACAAGGGACGCCAGCAAAGCTCATTAACTCCCTGGACAAGGAAGCCTAGAATCCCTAGACCCTCTACATAAACCCCTAAGCGCTGCGTCGCTCTTGAACTCACCTAAACCCTGAACCCTAAACCCTGTTCGCCACTTCGTGACCGAGCCCAGCGCACCCTTCCACCTAAGGAGTTCTGCTGGCCGTGTTGGGACCCCAGGGTCTCGCAAGCCAATGCAGGGGTCTGTCTGAATGATTCGTAAAATACATCAATAGTAGCATACAAATATGTGTATGTATATATATATATATATATATAGATAGATACCCCTATCTAATGTCTATTGATCTATCTATCTATCCCCTTATCGTCCCTATACAATCAAACGAAAAGATATCCCACATCGCATCCAGTGGGAAACCGAAATCCTGTTCGCACGCACTTTCACTTAGCAGAAACTTGTGATGCTGGACCCGGGCCCTGCGTCGAGTGCGGTCAGCGACGTGATCCCAGCTTGTGTTTACAATTCTTGTGGCTGAAGAAGGGCTGGGTTGCATGGCATCTGCACTTCGAGGCCGAGGCAACTTGAAGTGTGGTTCTGAACCGAGTGCGGGAGACCCAACTCTTGTTACCACGCCCCTGAAGCCTTCAACAGTGACAGACTTGGCAATGCCAAGGGCTTCCAAAGGGCCGGTCTCGTGCCTCCCTGAGATGCATGGACTTTGTGGAGGGAGGGTTTGGGATTCCAGTTTGGGATTCTGCAGGGTTTAGACTTTACTCTGTTCAAGTGGGCACAGGCGTTCTCATTGTAGTAGGTTCCACACGTGGCAAGGGTGGGTTCTTTGGCAGAGCTACAGGACCTGTGCCTTCCAGCGTTCTTGCTGCTCTTAGCTGGTTTGCAGGGCTGCCGGCTTGTTGCTATTGAGTTGATTTTGCACAGGCCTTGCGAAGTTCCAGCTTGCTCTTCTGAAGTATGCCCCGTGCACGAAAGGCGTTCACGGTTCGACTCTTGCCATAGCTCACTCATATATACACCTTGCATTGTCAAGATCTCGAGGCTGAAGCGTTTTTCATCAAGCTCCTTGGGCTCGGATCTTTGTAAAGCCCGTTCTCGCGGCCCGAAGGCTTCGAGTGGAAGCCCTGCTGCTGGCACAGGCCTCTCAGTGCGAAGGGGTACAGATATAGATCCAGGGTTCTCTTTTTGTATGTGTTC